TAAACTTCGCCATATTTCTAGATAAGAGAGCCGCTCCATCCAACGTGGGATGGATGCCGTCTCTCCTAATCCTAAAGCATTTGAGATAATCCAACCTGCAATCCCAAAGAGGAAATAATCATCAAATGGACTTAACAGTTGATTTTTGCTTATTTACCATCTAAATTGCATGGCTTTGGGTTAACGTGACAGCAATATAATGTTAAAATTAGATCTAGGAACCTTATCAGGAATCTAAGTTTGATCGATTTAAATTCCATTAAAGCCAAAATTGTTCGATCGAATTGTTAATGTGGTTTATTTTAATTATAAATATATATCTATATGCTATATATTATATAGTGTGATGCTCTGAATGAATAAATGTGAAAATATGTTTTTTTTTCTTGTTTCTTTTAATTTAGTTGAGTTTTTTTGTTTTTAATAGAAACAATAAAGAATAATATCACATATAACTACATTACAAATGTTTTCCTGAGTGTTTCATTATGGTGAAATGGCACTTTAAATACAAATTTTTTGGGTCAATATGATTTACATTTGGAAAAAAGAGGAATTTAGTTTGTTTACTGTACATCATTATACTCCACAACACTAAACAGTAGAGAGCAGGAAAATAAATAAAGTCTGTTCTGTCTCTCTGGGCGTGTACTGGAAAGCAACACCAGACATAAAGATCTTTATCATTGCTTTGGCCATGAAAGCAGTTGCGGTCAAGACCCAAAGGAGGGTAGGAATTTCCGCTTTCATACTTCAGCGGTAACATCGAAGCTGCCAGCAATCACTCATCACTCATTAACGGCGTATGTTTTAAGGATGGAAATGATTCAAAAATAATAACAACGCAGGGAATATATCACATCTAGCGACATGTGCTCTTTTTTTTTTTATGAGAATTTGTGAGTCCTTACATTTACATTAGCACCTAAATGAAACATAAAGCGCTTCCCTTTTCCCTTCCGGGTAGCGACATCGGAAACACTTCCAGCTCGCAGAAAGGCGGATCCCTCTCTGCTACTTTGCCTTTCACAACTTCTTTGAGCCTATTTTCTTGTACCTGTCATTCCCCGCCGGGTCCCAGCTACACGCCAAATCAATTTCAAATCAAACGCCATTGTGTTCAGTCGAGCTGCACGAAAGGAGTTCATCCAGCTCTACCCATCCAACTTTTAACGCACTAGCATTTCCCTTGACAGCTGAGACAGCAAAGACAGGAAGATGGGAGATAAAGAATTGATGTGGGCATTGAATACCGGGGACCTGGAGGAGGTCAAAGCCAAACTGGTGACGGTAAGACAACTGCAAGTCGCCTGCTTTGTCAGTGAATCGTCTGCAACAATTTTCGGACTGCTCGGCTAAGGTGGCTAACGCCAGGCGGCTAACTTAGCCACCGGGCTGGCTAGCTGACGGTAGCTCGAGTTGGGTAATGCTAAGTTATTAGGTAATCTAACATTGGACAAGCAAACGGGGCTTTCTGAGGTCGGGGGGGGTTTAGCTTCAACCCAAAACATTTTAAAGGCCCTTGGCGTAACACGTTTCAGTGTCAGTCTGCGCCAAGTTAGCATATAGTTACCGACATAAACACGCTTCACTCGAGAATAGACAATGTGTCTCTGTTAACAATGTGTGTCTCTGTTGGAGCAAAAGAGATGGAGGCGCGGCTGCAGAAAATCCGGCGGCACCCTCCGCACTAAAAATCTTTTTGGACGAGAGTGACAGAAAAGTCTTACAAGTGCTTGTTAGGCCACACTGGTTTCACTACAAAGCCCAGAGTGCACCTCGTTTCTGTAGACAGGAGTATCCTTGCCTCTGCTGAAGGAGGCCAACAGTGTTAACCTACATTGGATTATTGCACATGTTGACCTGATATTGGTTTGTGGTCTATACTTTCTTATTCACTTGTGCTCCATAAACCACTATACTATACACGTGTACTGTAGATGTTATGTCTGAGGTTACTAAGGCAGCACATTATCTTATTAAATGAAGCAAAGTTAAATGGTTTTTGATATTTTAAGTAGGTTTTATTCAAACAAACACTCTCAATCAACAGCTACAGTCACAGTGGATTCTGATGTTGACCATATATACTTTCTTATTCACTTGTGCTCCATAAACCATTATGATATACACATGTACTGTAGATGTTATGTCTAAGGTTACTAAGATAGATAGATAGATAGACTTTATTAATCTTTGAAGGGAAATTGGGTCGTCATAGCAGCCAGGTACATTAAAATACAATAAAATACAACAATAAAACAAAATACTTAGATAGAAAATATAAAAAAAAGATAAATAGGTAGGCATAAGGCAGCACATTATCTTACTAAATGAAGCAAAATTAAATGGTTTTTGATATTTTAAGTAGATTTTATTCAAACAAACACTCTCAATCAACAGCTACAGTCACAGTGGATTCTGATGTTGACCAGTTTTCACAGATCGTATAAAGTTTTAAAACTATTCTGACATTTGGGTGTGAATTTGGGTTTTTTTTGGGTTCTTTGTTCCCTAGTTAAACCATGTATGTTTTTTATTGGTCAGCAGCATGTGGTTGAAATTTGTAAGTGACACGAAAGCTAGATATTGTTGAGAAAGATGTGTGCAGCTGATAGCATAGTAACCGGACACACTTGCTGCTTGATGCATTGACCCTTCCAAGAGTTGAATCTTATCTGGCTTGCAAACTAATGATAAGGAATCTAAAGTCCTAAATAAAGTCACTGAACTTTGAGCAGAATTAGACTGTTAGCATTTCATACTCACCTGTTATCAGGGACCAATTTTCCACTTTCGTTTTCTCATTTCATCCATTTTTTTATGGTCCTATTATAAGTCATAGTCATTTCATTATCTACACTGGGTCTGGATATAAACAACCACAGTGCTTTATCCTTTTTTTATAGTAGAAATGAAACAATTTCAATTTTATTAGCCGTTGGAGCTGCAGCCGCTGAAGGTAACATTTAAACACTATTAGAAGAGGTCGAGTTCGATATCCATCATCGCTAATGGATTCAGTTGGATCGGCTGTACAATGAAGAATTGTCTTCAGTGTGTTGTACTTGACCTTCAGTGGAGTTTGTGGTAAAGGTGAGTGAGCGAGTAGCAATTGGAGGCAGGCAGTGGTGCAGTGGATTATGATATTGTTGCTGAATTAGTCAGTGGTCACCGTTACAGATCTGAGTGGGCTCGTGTGCATATGGTCATCACGTCCATTAGATGACAGGAAAGGGGAAATGGAAAAGAGAAACAAGCTGAAAGGGAATAGGAGGCACTTACACAGGTATAATTAAAAAACATTAACGATAGTCCAGTTTCATTTACATGTCCAGTAGCGTATGAGCCAACATCCACAGTAGCAGGAGCCTACAACTTGTACATGTTGCTGGAATATAGCCATAATTATTTATGTTAGCAGTTGTTCATTCAGTCAAAATAGAGGAGTTTGAATCATTTAACTATAATGTAAGAATTAGGACCAGAAATGGACAATATGTAAGTTGTAGCATGATAACCAGAATTACAAAAGATATCCAATACTGTGTATTTTTAATATTATATTGACATTATCTCCCAGTTATTCTGTTACCTTATTATCTCAATTGATTTGCATTTCAGCTTTATTAGATTTGCTCTCAGTCGCCCCAGGGGAACCAAATAACCGAGCTACCTCTGTCGTCCCCAGATCAGGTGTTTTCATAGCGGGTCTTGTGTAACAGGATATACCTCTTCTTGTCAAAGCCTTTCAGCAAATTCTGCTCTTGTGTTCTGTTATGGAGGCCAATTTTCTAAGCGAATGAATACTTGTTGTTCCACCTGCCACCATGTTTATTCGGACTGTTGGTTAATCGTATACAGCTTTGAGAAAAGCCAGAACTGACAGCCAAAGCTGTGATTGATATGTCTTTAGGTACTGTCACTGGAGGGGGCCACCTGGCACACACTAAGTTCTGTGTGTGTGTGTGGTTAGTGTGGTGAGTGTCTGACTTTTCTCTTTGCTGCAAGGTTGACAGTCTGAGGTCTGACAGCACCACAGCAGGGAAGTGAAAGGGAGAGGATGGTGCGTGTTATTGTTTGTCTCTGATTTTCAATGTGAGCTTGTATCAACAGTGAGAGTTTACTTTTTAAGTAAAATGCTTCCTCAGAGCTCCCTTTCAATCTCTATAGTTGCCGTGTGACAGCGCTGACTGTTAACCTGTTACCTTGTTTTTTGCAGGCTGAAGATGTAAACCGGACCCTGGAAGGTGGGAGGAAGCCTCTGCACTACGCTGCAGACTATGGTCAGACAGATGTGGTTGAGTTCCTCATTTCTAAGGGAGCAGATATCAATGTAAGAACCACAACAACCAGCTCCCATCACATTATTTTTGCATTCATTTGCCTACTGTTCAGGGGTTACAATGGCCACAGAAAATAACAGTGCCTATGTTTGCATCCATTCATAGTCTAAGCCTATTGTAAAACTGCTTGATTTGGCACAAGCATTATCAGTTTGTTTGAACTAAAGTAGTCTGGCTGTTAAAAGCACCTTACATTATGCTATTTCAGCCTTTGTCCATTCTCTCAACAATTGTCCAAGCTCGCCAGACTTAACATTTAGCCTGATTGGCCCCCTGAGCTTCAATAGTCTCTTCTGGTGTTGTTATAGTAGATTGATCCGTATTAACTAAAAGGGCACTTACCCATCCAGCAGTCCAATCCAACAGTATTGATATCTGTAATTTCAAACCTTTTCTTTGGTAATTTGCAACTTTTTCAGGTAGAATTGTATGTGCAAACTGCATGAATCTTTGACCTCCAGCACACTTGTAGTGAAGTTTCAATGGTGCTGTGAGACGCTCAAGGCAACATAAAGCTGTTATTAGGTGCATTTCACCTCTTGCCTGAGTTTGCACACAAGAATTTACACATCTCAGCCTCAACTTGTCCAGTCTTCACAAATACAAGGCTTTAAAGTTGTACCAACATATAGTCTTTGCCTTGCCTCCCGAGCCCAGAATGTTCCAATTCTCAATTTTTAATGGTAACAGGCTCTGCTACTGAAACATGGGAGATAAATATAGTCTTGAAGGGCAGTGTGCTTTCTTATAATTGGTGGACATGATGAGGGAGAAGTTCAACCTCTCACAGAGGAATTCTTTTCCTTATTTATTGTGATAAAAAAGATAGATGTACCCTTATGTAGTACAACATCCCTGCCTTTTTTTTTTTTCTGTCTACCACTCATGCCTTTCCCACCTGCTCCCCTTACAGGCTCCAGACAAACACGGGTTAACTCCGCTGATCTCTGCCTGTTTTGAGGGTCATCTCTCCTGTGTCAAGGTCCTGCTAGAAAAGGTTGGTACTTTGATTTGAGGATGCTCAGCTAATGCATCTGCACACTGAAGTGTCCTGGTGTCCTTCACCCCTCAGCGCATGTTGTTCTGTCAAAGGCTCCATGTGAGCCATGAGTGCTGATGAGGTAACTCATTTGACAAAAGGCCCTTTAACATAGTCCTGTGGAGGCTGTGCTGGAATGTTCATAGAACATGACACAGTATTGCTGCTGTTCACTTGTTTTGTGTCTGTGCTTTTTAAGCGGGTTCATTCATAGCTGCACAGGCCGTTGCTCCATGTAAATGTCTGCCCTATCCTTCCATTCTCAGCCTCCCCTCAGTTGTTTAGGTCTGGAACTATCTTAAATGCTACCTCTGTCAGATGGATGCACGTGGGCTTGTGCACACAGTCGCAGCTGTGAGAAGAGAGACAATACTGAGTCAGGCACAGCTGGCAAAGGCTGTAGTAATGCAACTAAATAACATGCATGCCATAATACATCTCCAGTCCAACCAGCGTCATCCAGCAGAAGATAACATATTTGTGCAGCTCCGTCACAGTCAAATAGAAGGCTTCATTTATATGTGGAGGAGCTTTCTTTTGGTAATTCGATGCCTTCTTTGCACATCTTACCTCAGCGTTTGACTCAGAAGTACATGCATATAAATCAAGTCATATGAATATAAATGACAGCTCTTCTACTCATCTAGGCTGGCGAAATTCTGTTTCACCGCTGCCCAAATGAGCCAGACTGACAGTGGAATTGATGCTCCTGTGGACAATGTCACACAAATGGGAGCAACAATAGCTACGTCTCTTTCAGTACCCTCCGTACCCCCTTCAGTTCTTTGTCTCTCGTACTCTATCATTTAACACTCATATGTTTCATTAGAATAATATCAAATATATAAGAGGTTTCACATCAGTCACAAAAATTGATGGTCAGTGTTACTTAGTTAAGGGTACAAGCTCAAAATCTCTAGAAAGCTCTTATGTCATCTTATCTGCATGATGTCATGTAGATGGCTCGCATGCTTTACAGTCAAAGTCTGCTGCAAACCGATACGTGTATATGCGAAGGCGAGATAGATATTCAGGGGCTGAGTGAGCAGCTGTCTGTTCCCAGCCAGGCTAAATGAGGCGGGGTAAATGAAAGCTCCTCTACAGAGTTGTTTCACGGTGGCATCATCTTGGCTCAACAAAAGTAATGGGGAGATGGGAGGGGGCATTCACACACTAAGTCACACTACCGATTAGGGAAGTCATTTTTTGCACTCTATACAATCACATATGCAACATTCCGGCAGACTCTTCAATCAGTTCACAGTTTCAACTGCACTTTGAAGCAGACGTTTGAAAAGAGGAAATGGTCATCTATGTATGGGAAACACTGGTGTTTGGTTAGAGAGACACTTACGTGACACTCGACTGCTTACTTATTCCTGTTGGCATCGGCTGTATTCATGCCCCATTTTCATCAACACAGCCGCACGCCCCGGCCCTCGCATCAACAAGCCAGCAGAGTTTTGCCAGCATTCGGCCGGCAGCTGGCCGGCAGCTGGCTACTGCTGTCAGCTGGCCGTCAGAGCTGTTGGCTCAAAGATAAACCAAAAGAAGTGGCCAATACCAACAAGAAGAAAAAAGCGGGTTTCTGTGATTTTTATTTTTTTATATTTTTATTTATTTATTTTTTTTTTACCTGTGATAGGCTCGTATTAATTTTAAATATTATTTTGATAACAAGAATGATTTCCTCATATTGATTTGATTTCTGTTTTTGGGGATGCCTCACCCTTCTCTTGGAGGTAGGTCTACTAAAAAAGAGGAAGTACACGCTGTAGTTCAAGTTCAGATCTGAGCTGTGTAATAGGTGATGCATTTTAAGTTTTTAATATAAAAACATTGATGTGATAGGATTTGGGTTTAAAACCAGCACTGTCTTTTTTTTAATGAAAATAAAGTCTTCATTATTGACTGCAGTCATTTCCCTTTATTTCCCTTGCTACCAGGCGCACATCCACAGCAGCAGTACATCCCCATTAAAGCCAGAAGCCCTTCTCCATCTGAAATATGTAGCTATGCAAGCACCACCTCTGCATTGAAAATGAATGCCCCTTGGGTAGACCTTTTTTTAAAAAAGCCTTTGTCTGTTTTATCATATGAGACAAGACAGGCAGCCATAGCTCATCTGAACAGGGATTATGGTGGAAGGCGAAGATACGAGGGAACCCACGGGTTTGTTCCTCTCATGGCTTCGTACTCATCTCCACTAAGCACCAACAAGGATTAACACCCAAATGCAGCCAAAAGGTCATCAGTCACCACAGGGACCAGATCTCAATACATCTACCCCTGGCAGCTCTGAAAACTCTCCATGTGTCTTAACATGAGATGAATAGATTGTCCCAGAGCCACACCATTGACTGTGCTGCCACACATCCACTCTGTCTGGCAGCACCTGTAGCACAACAGCCACCACATTGGCGTGATAAAATGAGCCCACTGAGAATACTGAATTGTGACTATTCGACTGTCAGACATTTTTGTGTTTGCAGACAAAATGGCTTGGTTCCCTGGTGCATCATGGGAGCCGACCCCTGCCCCCGTACTGCGTGCTGTGCTGTTGTTGAATGAATTATGAAAGGCCGTTTTAACCCCAATAGGTGACCCAGCCGTAAGATTCTGGCCGAGAGAGCTGACAGCAGCCTGCAAAGGCTGGCCAGTTAATTTTAAATCAACAATGAAAGGGCACACACAGGCATACACGCATGAAAACACACATCCTTTTCTTTTATGAGGAACTGTGTACATGACGATTGACTAGGAAGAAATGCAGTATTATTTTGTCAAGTCAGTTCCTATTTTTGCATTGTCTTTTAAACATGACCCTATAATGTGTCCTGCTCATTGTGCGTGTCTTTGATACACAGTAGGGATTTGGTCAAACAATTTTAAAGTAAAACAGGCTAATACACATCATCTTCCATTGGGCTTTGCCAACTTGATTGACTTGACTAAATTTTCATTAGGAGTAGGGTGGGTACACACAGAAAAATAGTATAATAAAATTGATTAAAGTAATTGTTATGCTTCTGTAGATGTCTCTTCCATACAGAATCTTTCCTGGGTAATCCTACCCAAAAAAGTGAAAGTACGTTCAGTAAAGTCACTGAAAGGGTTACTTACTAATGATGTATTAAATTAGATTTCAGGCCTAAACTGAAGACGATATAAGCGATATACACATTTTAAATTAAAAAACTGCAATTTTCTGCTGGTGTAAAACGGCGTACAGTGTTAATAACTAAAACAAAATCCTAGTCTTTTTTTTTTCCCCCAGTTTTGACCAATGTTTGGTGCAGCTTCTTAACATATACAAAGTATTTATTTAAACCAGAGCCGAGCCGGCATACCTTGCTCCAGTGCAGATATTGAGTTTAAAATTTTTTTGTCGCTGGGTGTTAGAAAATTTGCACTCTTACAGAATCGTAATGTTTGATCGCTGCCAGCAGGTCAATAATCAGATACAAGCATTGCATTTTAAATAAGTTTTGAGTTATTCTCTGGCCCAATATTTGAAGACTTGCGCATGGGAGACCTTTCATTTCCATTCACTCGTGGCATAATGAAAACTTAATGGACATTTGGCAGATGCAGTGGCATTACCTTACTGACCCAGTGCTGCTTTGTATGGCTCCATAATCCAGGATGATGGTGCATCACAGTTGGACTGGAGACACCCTGGGAGTCTATTCTTATTCATTAGGCTGTATCTCACTTGGCCACTAGCTTCTCTTTTACTGGATAATGTTTGGACAGTAAGGTGTTCATGAGGGGTCATTATTCAAGTTGGGGAAAGCTCATTAATGTAAGTGGTGACAGGAGTATGACAGTGAGCTGAATGGTCATTGGGGACGGTGTAACAGGGAAGAGTATGGGCTGGGGCTATTAATGTAACTCTACCATAAATACCCAAAGGGAGTATCAGTCTGTGGCAGACCCTCCTAGAATACTGTTTAGGGCAATGTAGGTGTGTGGTGCTCATTATGAGATTGTTCCACCTAAAATGCAGTGGTATACACAAGGTATGTAATGGTTTGTGTGTCAGATGGATATTTGTGCCCAGGCAAGAGCAGTATTGATGGTGAAAGAGCTAGGGCCAAGAAGTAATGCTGTTTCCTGCCATCTAAATGAGGCCTGTGGAGTCGGTTACCAGGTATGGTTTGGAACCAACTACTAATGACTTCCCCAGAGCTGGTGAAAGAAAGCTTCCTCTTGTCTTCCCATCCTACCCTTCACCCCCTGAACTCACAAGAGTGGAGAACACAATGCTTGGTTACCAGGCAGCTGGTTTGAATGAGTCAGGTATTGGAAAAGTTAATGTTACTCTGGAAATACTGGCAAAGACTGTTTATATTTTAGGTCAGCAATGTTTTTACTGGTGGATAAAACAGTTTCAAATCAGAAAATAATTATCAGAGTAGTAGGATTCAGGTTGTCTCTCAGGAATCTGTCCTTTCCTGTACCTGATGAATTGCACTGAAAGAACCCTCTGTGTATTGAAATTTGAAGACCTGAACATAAAACTCAGTACAAAGTGGGAAGTTTATGGATCACTGCAAGATCATTTACAGTTTACAGGTGTTGAAACAGCTGTCTTCGGATGTGAAAAACTAGCAGTGCGGGACTTTGGGTAACCCGTCACCATAGATGATATGTTACACAACAGGGCTCTAACAACTGGAGTGTTGACAGGTGCACACTTCTTAGAAATGTGAAGCAGGCTATGAATTGACAAAACCCTCTCTTACTTTGTCTTTCGTTTTCTTACCAATTAGAGATGCAGATCTGACAGGTTAACCGCTCAGCCCTGGTAAATCTCTCTTGCTCGGGATGCGCTCCGTTGCTCCTGTGGCATGGAATTTGCAAGACAACCATCCTCACACTGCTGGGCACTTGAACTGGGTCACATTGTTTTTGATGGCATGCTTCTCCACGCAACAATAGACTCTCTCTGCCTTGGCTCTGTAAGCCCTTTGCTAAGAGGCTAAAGTTGGCAGGCCAAACAAAGGGATGTCTCTCCACTACATGCCCCTCTCCTCCTCTGTCGCCCATTAAATCTGTTGTCACTACATGTGCATTCAACACGTTGTCTGTCTCGTTCCTTCTCTTTTTTTGTTTTTTTTTTACATTTTTTTTTTGTCCTTAGTAATTCAAATGATCGCGTCCACTCCCATTTCTTTCACTTATCCCTTAGAGCTCAAATGGGTTTGTGCCTCAGCGTCTCTGAATTTGTTTTGCATGTGCTGTCTGGATAAAGACAGGCTGACAGGCAAGTTATTAGCAACTGAGTAAGAAGAAAATAAAAGTGACAGATGTTTTTCCGTAGATGTTTTGGTAACATACCAGGATAACCATTCAGTAAGGGCCTGTGGCCATGGACGAGATGGGTAGAAGCATTACAAGCAAGGGGTGACAAAGCCACGTGCCATATAGAGTCAACAATTTGCTGGCTTATATTGCCTGTTGGGACTGTTGCCTCTCCACAGCACATGGTTGACCTCCCCGATATAGCCCTTTTCCACTCCCGGAACTTCACCAGGGGCCCAGGAGCCATATCATGAACTGTGTGTGCCCCCTGTAATGTTTATTGTTGTTGAAAATGGTTAAATATTGTGCAACTTCCTGGTGAGTGATGACAGGGTAAGATTATAGATTACCACATAAAACAGTGCAGTTTGTCGCCAACTTGGTGCTCTGGAGTTTCTGCATGTTGCAAACAGTCATAGGACGCTTTAAAAAAAGACTATAGATTCCGGGCTCTGCTCCTCACCTTAACCCCTGACTCGATGAAGTGGAGTTGGCATCATACTGTGAGGAAGACTTGATGCACCTACTAAGCATATTTAATATTCATGTCTCCTCTCTTCCGCAGGGAGCTGACAAAGACCGAAAAGGACCGAACGGCATCAGTGCCTTTGAGGCTGCCGCCGAGAGCGATGCCATAAAGGCTCTGCTCAAGTGAGACACCAGTGTGAGAGGTGGCTGGACAGGTGGGTGAACGGACGGACAGATGGATGCAGTGGTCCCCTGACAGAAGATGGACTCGTCCCTTTTACCCCGATCAACCTCTGTCTTAACACTGCTTTTGTCTGTTTGTTGAAGGGTCATTTTGTCTGTCTGGTGATTTTCCTTTACCTTGTTTTTTTGTTGTTTTTTTTCCCCCAAGTTTTTGGGGTAGGATTTTCTCTTTTATTGGCCTCTGTTTCTAGCCATTTAACAGAAGGACTTGTCAGTAATGTCTCCCTTAGGGACCAAACACTGGGGGAGCGCTCTCGCACCTGGATCCTAGAACACTGCTCAGACAAGAAATCACTCTATAATATAAACGCAAAGCTTCGCACTTAAATACACATCTCTCATTTGCGGTTCTCTTTAAAACTGTAAAGAAATCTAATGTTAATAGATCAATAGTGTGTTAACATTTCCTTTTCTTTCTTTTTTTTTTTCTACAACTTCAGTATAAGTATTGTATGGCGAAGGCTTATCTCATGAACAGTAATTAAGATAAGATATTTCTTTAGTTGTTCCACAATGGGGAAATTCCAAATTGCACTGTACTATACTAGATTGAAAAGAAAGGTTGTAAAGTTTCATTATATTAACCTTTCATTGTGTGTGGCCTCTTCCTCTACCTTGATTTGTTTTTTAATAAACCCAAACTTTCCCTCCAATCTTAGAATTTTGGAAACGTTGCTCGAAATAGTTCCAGACGTCAGATTTTTCCTTTTCTACTTGGCATATCACTTACATATCAGATGGTGTTTTTGACCAATGTTTCATTGGTAATGCATAAAAGATTTTCTGTATTCTTTGACCAATCACCATGCTGGCTACTAGAAAGACTTGAATGTTGCAATTTTTAAAACTCTGTTACTGAATCTCTTTTTGAAGCAATGTTAACAGCACATAATAGAATAAGGAATTTTAGAAATGTGTTCATTTTGTCGTCCCTGGAGTGAGATTTCAGAATGAAAATTCCCTTTTTGTTGCAGCTTCTCTGTGTATTTTGTAATTGGGGGGGCTCTGGATGATGGGTAAATGGGGGTTGTAGTTCAAACTGGATGGTGAGGGCTGTTAGTGTTCCCCTTGCCTTGGATTTGGTTGGAAGCCCTGCCTGTTTTTGCTGCATGTCAAAATTGCCTCTGCTTTTATGCTATGAAATGGTCGCTGGTCCTCTCTTGGTTGCTTTAAAATCAATTACTACAATGTAATGGACAAAAAAGATGCTCTTGCTGACTTTGTTGTGACAAAAAGTCTGTAAAAACAAATAAAAATATATATAAAAATGTTTGTCATCTGAACTTAATTTATTTAAAAACTAACCTAATAAGGTTTAGAATTATATCAGATATAATGTTGCCAGATGATAAATGGAAGATTTTGAAATAACACATCCTATTGAAAAAATACTGTGACTGTAAAAAAAGCTTAATTCACTGAATGTACCACCTTGAATTAATGTTCTTTCCATTGTATAAAGACATTACCTGCCACTCATTCCTCACTTTTCCAGTACTATTGAGTCAGATGAATGACTGCGGTAATTTTCTACTACAAGGGACATCATGCTGTTTGACAGATTTTACCCTTGGTATTCTCGTAGCCTTGGGCGATCTAATCAGTATTTGTGAACCTGAGCAACTTCGTCCCAAACGTTAGACTGGAGACTCTAATCTTTGTTGTCATACCAATCCACTGCCTCGAGCTGTTCCTTTATGAATCACAGACTGAATTTGACTCCCACTAGATTTGACTGAATGTCTGGATTCAAATAAGCTCTGTGTTATAATAGGGCAGTCAGTTCTAATACAGAAAATGCAGCACTGAGAAAATTCTAGCATTCATACCAAGTAACGTCATAGTCACTTTCTACAGTTCATTTTGTGACCATTGCATCATAAACTGGTCTCCTGACGAGGACTGGACCATCGTGACCAATTGCATTGTCAAATTATCGGGATGTAATTATCGTGAGCTACTGTTAAATTTTGTATTTGGCACTTCTTGCCTGCTGCGTTGTTCGGCACACAATGCGCTCTGAAAAAAAAAATTGTTGAGAGCCATGCCAGGTCAACCAAGAACCAAGGAACTTAATGTTTCTAGTAGAACAAGTGTTATTGTGAAGAGTACTGCAGTGTGGTTCTGCCTTATACCTCAAGGAGATGCTCGGTATGATGTGGACTTGTAGTTCACCAGATGAAAAGAAATCTAGCACGCAAACAATCACCCTGCCTGGTGATCTCTGAGCTACACTGCAATCATACAAATTTCTACCTACACTACGGGATTTGCTCGGAGTTCTGACCACCCTGGCAGGGAGCCAAGGCAAAACATTATTTTGTGTTGTGTTGAATGTTTCTGTTCTCAGGTGTATATTCATAAATATTTTACAGTCTATTTCACACTGCTCTCGTTTGAAAAAGGTTGAGGTTGACAACTGGAAAGATTATCTCCAAGTATGATGCAAGAACAGCCAAACAGAAATTGACAGTTTTTTCTGTGCAACTACCACCCTAAATGGATATCGAGCAAGGAGACTGCTGATGAGAATGTGGTTGTGGTGGTGGTAGTAGAAGGTTAGAGTTAAAGAAAAAACCTAGAAATCTGGATGGAAAGATGTTGGGTTGCAATAAAAAATTGCGGTTCCCAACAATTTTTTGTCCGATGTAACACCGTATCCGATAAGATCGTGTCCTTTCAATAAAAGGGTTGAATGCTAGTCATTGAGATCCAGGGATTTCCAATGATTTCTCACCATAATCTACTCCTGCGTTCCCCGGACAAATATCTGCACCTTATCCAAAAGAGAGAGTAATACCAGATTTGACACTGTTTTCTATCTTCTATCTTTTTTTTATGTATGTTGGGCAGTATTTTTACAGCAGCTACTGGGTGACTATATACAGAAGTCATGGTTCGGGTCATACCTCGGTTTAGGAGTTATGGTTCAGTGTGCGTTTGGTAGAGCTGGTAAAAAAAAGGCATAAATTTACCTTTCCTTTTCATCCAGTGTTCCATTTGCGCTGACCATAGTGTTACTGACTCGTATCAACCAATCAGCTTGTTGTGCTTACGTGCATCAATCTACGTACCGTGAAGACCGTGTGAGCTGAACCCCCAAACCGCGATGGTTCGGCATGAATACACAAACCGTTACAGCTCTACTCTCTATCATAAACCCTGGTGTTTGAGGTTTTACTGTCCAACTGACTGACTACAGTACCCAGTACCAACCACCTGTAGTTCTTAGTTCACACATATGTCTTCTGTATCTTCTTGTCCAGCGCTTCATTGCTGCCACATCACACTTCAAAACTATATGGCTACACCACTGCATCAACATGGAAAATTCAACATATCTTGTGAGACCCATCATACACTTTCCCCTGTAATTCCCTAACACATTTGGAATCTTTGGAAACTGCGGAATCTCAACTAGAATTTAAAATAAAGTAATGAAGGTTTCAACTCTGCTTGCCCACATGAGGTGAGCTCATAATGATAGTAGTCCACGGAGTAGAGGCGAGTGGGAGAAATCAGTACAAGCATGTGACTGAGCTGTAGCATGTGGTGAAGAGTTGCGTCAGGTCCCGTCAAATGAGCACATCCAGAGGGAAGCGGCAGACTGAGACGCAGCGAGAAAGGGTCTGTGAAGTTCTTTGTGGATGCTGCAGTGCTTTGTTAATCAGAGAGACACATGACTCTCTAGGCCACTTGCCATGTTTGTATACTCACGCCTGAGAACAAAGACAAATCAATTATTGCAATGTGGGCAAACATCAAGATAAAATGACTTGGCCACGTTTTGACAGCCTCGTCCCCCCATGCTCCCACCGCACCCCAACCCGTGGCATCTTATTTCTGCTCATTTAAATTACTTTCAAAGTAAACAACTGGGAGAAAACTGAGGTCCCCTCTTGGTTGACAGTGTCATTCTTGGAATATAAAACACCCCATTTTTCCCTTTGTCTTTGTCACATCAGAAAATAATTTTTATGTCTGCAGAAGAAAGCCTGTGACTCACGCTGATGATACATGTGAAATGAATCATTGGCATTTTCATCTAGTCCTTGAATTGCTTTTCTATTTTTTTATTTTTTGAACTGCTGTGCGAGCTCCCTGGGCAATTCCTGGGCTTTCACGAAGGCACTAATCCTGCTTAGGATCATTAGTTTAGGATCATGTTTACATTATGTATGTCACCCAGCGCTCATGTACTGTGCAGATCAGTGGTTCCCAAACCTCTTTTTTATCTCTTTACTCCAAAAGCAGCCAAAAACGCAAAGACTATTCCATTAGTCGTAAGAATATGAGCACCAGTCCTCTGACAAGAAAAGATGAGTGTAATGAGAAGTCATGCATAACTTCACTTGAACTCTGCTCCCACCTGCTGTTTTTCAAATAAAACTGCGGCAAGTTATCTGATGAATCTGAGGGAATTTTTCCACCAAAGAAATCATGCAACCACATATTTATTTAAACAGAAAACAACACAAAAAAACATAACTGATGATGATTTGAGTGCCAGTTAAAATACAAACTGTACTATCGCCTTGCATAGAACAGAACCTAATTGATTGCTGAGTGTCTCTACAGCAATTACAGGATGCAGTAATTAGCACGTGTGCCCACATACAGGCATGCACAGATATGTCTGCATGTACCCAAACACAAATAATCTCTTTGTGTCTCATCTTTTTTTTTTTTTTTCACACAGTTGCTACAGGGACCGTATGTGGAGCTACCCTTGTGATCAACCAGTTTAAAATGGTGGTTAATGAAGTAGCAAATCCAAATCATTAGCATAATTAATATGGACTCCTGATTGCCTTTTGGGTATCTCCCCTCCTCTCTCTCTTTCTAATCTATTATTGACTCCATGTCTCGTGCATTAGTTGAGCTTATGACTGATTTTCAACAAATCTATACCTTATTTCCCTAGTTGTAGTTCTAGAAGCCATGTGACCTGAAGGTAAACCAACCGTGAAATCAACCATTAAATCTAAGGTACTAACAAATTGAAAATCATTGGACATATTTTGATTGAACATTTGCATTTAGGTCATTTTTTTATTTTGTTTTAATAAGACTTGCATAGTCTCAATATTCAGTTTTAAACCAACTCCAGACCTCACAGGACAGTCACTGAATCCCTCCAGTCTTATGCTTCCCCTGACCAGGTTCTTGGCAGTTCTGTATCCTCCACGTGTCACACACAGTTGATCACTCACAGATCTACTACACATATAAAACAGTCTGTTTGAGGCTGAGGCAGTATTAACCGGTGTGTTAACGCTGTTGTTCATTACATCTGGCATTCTTCAGGATGATCACTTGTCTTTTGAAAACTTGGTCTGTAGTTTATTTGTCACTAAACTGTGTTGCAGTGAACTGACCGGGTTATCATTCTGTAGTTGGCCAAAATGGGCACATACATATGAATATTTACATCTACTAGGAGAGGGAGAGACTTTTTCTCCTCCCATAGACACTTACACTGGAAATGAGCCAAATCACTTATTGGGGCATTAGTCTGTGCATCCAAAAAATCTGATGAGGCAACAATTTTTGTATTTAATTGTTGCTCCCTGCGCTTCTAACATTAGATGATGACACCTCTGCAAATCTCTCCTATCATATGTTGTTTACGATAACTTGTAACTAACAATCAGCCAATAATAACACTGTGGAGTGTGCCTACCATAGTGTAATGTATTGCAGTGGGGCACGGCAGGACTGTAAGGTATATTAGGGAATGTTAGGGTTTATAGATAAACTAAGTAACTTTAAGCATGTATTGCAGGTGTATGTGTTTTATATATTATGTCTGTATATGTACACATGCATGTATAGTGTTTGTATTAACTATCTCAGATAGTGAAATTAGAATCGTGGGTAAGGTTGCAGGTTGTTTTCAAATCAAGAAGTAATAACTCTAGCATTCAGCATTTTCACTGCCAGCCCAAACAGCTGTCAAGGAAGTGATCTGAGCCTCTCCCTCCTCCTGTCTTCTCTACATCTCTGTCGCTCAGGAAAAACAAAAGAGAGGGAACGATGGAGAGTAGATTTATATTATTATCAGTGTCTCCAGAGTCAATTGAGCAGACAAATAAGTCAGCAGCAAACATTTAAAAGCAGGCAGTTGTGCTCTGACATGCTCATGTACACATGCATAAGCATAAATCCCTTATGGGCTATTTACTTATCAATCCCTCTTTGTTTGTACTCGGAGCCAGTGTGCGATGAGCCCGATCCAAGTCCCGCTAGATGCTTCAGTGCAAATGTT